CTTCCGAGTTCATGGGATTGTGGCAGCTTTCAGTTCCTTGTGGTTGTAGGACTGAGGTCCCATTTCTCTGCTGGCTGTCAGCCAGGGACCAGTCTCAGCCTCGAGAATCTGCCCACATACCATAGCCATGGTGCCCTCCATCTTTAAAGCCAGCAACAGACGTTCTCCCTCATGTCCAAATCCCTCTCATGCTTCAAACCCCCTTTGCCTGGAAGAGCCCAGATCCTTTCAAGAGCTCACCTGATGAAGTCTGGGCCACTGAGGATAATCTCCCTTTCTTACAGTCAACTGATTTGGGATCTTAATTACATCTGCAAAATCCCTTCACAGCAGTACCTAGTATTTGGATGAATATCTGGGAGAAGGTGTATATACCAAGGAGTGAGAATCTTGGGGGTCTTTAGAATTCTGTCTTCCACAGGGATAATAACAATAACTTAGAGTGTTGTTAAATGGATTAGGTGAGATTTGTATAAAGCACTTAGCATAGTATCTAGTACAGACGCTAGTACAGTCTCAAGAAATGGGATCTAGTATTATTAATGTCTCTATATACTGTATTTTCTTGCCTACCTGGATTTTTTTTGGCTCACTTTATTGTTATTTTATTTTTTGGCTGCGTTGGGTCTTCGTTGCTGTACACGGACTTTCTCTCTAGTTGCAGTGAGTGGGACTCACTGTGGTGCATAGGCTTCTCATTGGTGGCTTCTCTTGTTGCGGAGCACAGGCTCTAGGCATGTGGGCTTCAGTTGTTGCAGCATGCGGGCTCAGTAGTTGTGGCTCATAAGCTCTAGAGCCCAGGCTCAGCAGTTGTGGTGCGTGGGCTTGGTTGGTCCTCGGAATGTGGGATCTTCCCAGACCAGGGATTGAACCCATGTCCCCTGCATTGGCAGGCAGATTCTTAACCACTGCGCCACCACGGAAGTCCTGGATTTTAAAATTATGTTATGATAAGCACATTAGAAACATAATGGAATATGTTTCTCATTATCTGGATACTCCACAGAAAACACATACTGGGGCCAGAGTCAAGGAACTCATGAAACTCAATGTTTAGTCTGTTTGCTGAAAGTTGACGTACTCATTCAAATTAAATAAACAGTGCAGTGTAAAAAAAAAAAAAAAAAAGGGAGACCAGGATATAACTCATGTTGGTACTCAACTCAAGCTCACATATAATGTGGCATAAAATGAAGTATGAGCCTCTGCATTGTTCAATTTTTGTTTTTTAGTGAGAAAAATGCATCACAGAATCCATGCCTTGAACACTGACATTTTTCAGAGAGAACTGTTTTGTTTCTACTCCTACTCTGAATATAAAATGAATGCTTCAAATGTGCCATGTACACAAAGGCTTGAAGCCCCCCCTTTCTCCCTTCAATAGTTCCAGGCTAGAATAGGCAGCATTATGCAATTTGGTGACCCAACGCCAGCAATGAGAATGCTTCTCACTGGCTGTGGGAAGAAAGACACCTAAGCGGTTAACAGTAATATTTTGCAAATGGAAGCAAGTGAAGAAAAAATTACATTAGCATAAGAAAAGGTAGCCTTAGGGGATTTTCCACTCCAATGTTTGGTACTAAGAGCTCTATGTTACAAAGGAGGAGGATGGTGAAGAGAAACTCTAGCGTGCACACATTCTTGAAACGCATTGCCATTGTACTCATTCTGCTGGCGAGAAACACCTCATAGTTACAGAGATGGAAAACGGTCCTTTCTAGTAAGGAAAGTCAAATTGGATGTATTAGGAAAAACTTCCCGAGCTAAGTATAGCAAGAAAGCAAGAGGATTCCTCAGTGATGGCAGTTCTAGACTAGAGGTGACTTGGGATTAAAAATGACATTTTTAAGCAATGATTTTCATTGTTAACTAGAATGGGCCCCAATGTCTGTGATTAATTTAACAGCTCATTTCAGAAATTGTGTCTAATTCACAGTACCTGAATGTAATTACCAGACATATCCTTTTAAATTAATACCTAGACTTATTTAAAGGTTGCTTAATAGGGAATTTCCAATTTCAAGTTATGATTATTTTCGCTAGTTGAAAACAATCTTTTTTTTTTTTTTTCAGATTCCACATGTAAGTGATATCATATGATATTTGTCTTTCTCTGTCTGGCTTACTTCACTTAGTATGATAATCTCTAGGTCCATCCTTGTTGCTGCAAATGGCATTATTTCATTATGGTTGAATACTATTCCTTTGTATATATACACCACATCTTCTTTATCATCTGTCAGTGGTCACTTAGGGGGTTTCCATGTCTTGGCTATTGTGAATAGTGCTGCTATGAACACTGGGGTGCATTTATCTTTTCGAATTATGTTTTTCTCCAGATATATGCCCAGGAGTGGAATTTCTGGGTCATATGGTAACTCTATTTTCAGTTTTTTAAGGAACCTCCATACTGTTCTCCATAGTGGTTGTATCAATTTACATTCCCACCAACAGTGCAGGAGGTTCCCTTTTCTCCACACCCTCTCCAGCATTCGTTATTTGTAGACTTTTATTTTTTTATTTTTATTTTTTCCTTGCGTTATGCGGGCCTCTCACTGTTGTGGCCTCTCCCATTTGCGGAGCACAGGCTCCGGACGCGCAGGCTCAGCGGCCATGGCTCACGGGCCCAGCCGCTCCGCGGCATGTGGGATCTTCCCGAAACGGGGCACGAACCCGCGTCTCCTGCATCGGCAGGCGGACTCTCAAGCACTGCGCCACCAGGGAAGCCCGAGACTTTTTAATGATGGCCATTCTGACTGGTGTGAGGTGATACCTCGTAGTTTTGATTTGTATTTCTCTAATAACTAGCGATTTTGAGCATCTTTTCATGTGCCTGTTGGCCATCTGTATGTCTTCTTTGGATAAATGTTTATTTAGGTCTGCTGCCCATTTATTCTTTTGGGTTGTTTGTTTTTTTGATATTGAGCTATATGAGCTGTTTGTATATTTTGGAAATTTATCCCTTTTCAGTTGCCTCATTTGATTTTGCTACTTTTTGATATGTTACAAATATAGCATCCTGCATCAATGTAAAAATGCATTCCAAAACTGAAGTGAAGGGCTTCCCTGGTGGCACAGTGGTTGAGAATCTGCCTGCTAATGCAGGGGACGCGGGTTCGAGCCCTGGTCTGGGAGGATCCCACATGCCGCGGAGCAACTAGGCCCGTGAGGCACAACTACTGAGCCTGCGCGTCTGGAGCCTGTGCTCCGCAACAAGAGAGGCCGCGATAGTGAGAGGCCCGCGCACCGCGATGAAGAGTGGCCCCCGCTCGCCGCAACTAGAGAAAGCCCTCGCACAGAAACGAAGACCCAACACAGCCAGAAATAAATAAATTAATTAATTTTTAAAAAATAGACAAAACTGAAGTGAAATACTTTTGATAATCCTTATCACTGTTTCCCAACCCTAGTATGGAAAATCGAGAAATGATTAAGGCTCCAAACCCTTTTCAGTATAAATTTGACACCCCCATTTCCCATATTTATGCATAAAATGTGTCCTCCATTGACAGTTCCTGGGGAAAAGAGGCCAGTCTATAGTCATCTATTCAGTTATGAGAGATAATTTCTATGCACATGGAAGGGCACGGGGATATGTTTTCATGTGAGAACCAGTTCTAAGCAACCAAATATTTTATCGATGTTCTGTGATGTTTTCTGAAAGGAACATTCAGAGCTAGACTGCACCACAGGCTGTCTATCACCCAGCTCTTTCCTGTGCTATAGCCACCACATTTCCTAATTCTGTGAGGGCAAGGTGAAGTGAAAAGAGCTGAGCTGTTTGAATCTAAATGATAAATTGTGGTTTTGCATGCCTGCTGGTGTAGACACAGAATCATTAGGAGCTTAGAGATTGTGGATGACACTCTTCTTGGGACCCAGCACCTGTCCTTTGACAGAGAGGGAAGGGAAAGCACAGAGGCTCAGAGTTATTTTACCTCTTGTGCCTTTTCCTCTCAGTTCAAAAATCAAAAGACCATCTTCTTTCAACTGAATTTAGCATTTCCTGTTTAATTGCTCAACCTGACCTCCTTTTTGACCAGGAACCCAGACTCTCAGACATGTTCGTGCCCAGTGACACTGGAATCAGGGGACTTGATTCTTGTTCTTCTTTTTACAGTATGAAGAGTTCAGTCAAGCTGCTGTTGAGAAACTAAGCCACAGATACCAGAACCCATGGTAAGCACATACTAATACATTTTACATCAATTAATTAATGTGTTTCCTTCTTAAATTAGGAACAGGGTTAATATTTTAAAACTTTTTATGTCCTATAGGTTTCTTTGTATAATTACGAATTTTTATTCCTCATAAACAAAGTGTTCACCATCTACTAGGTTTTCATTAAGGGGAGGAAAGAGGTGGGGCAAGCACGGTGAGAGCACAGTGGAGAAAAAGGAAGCAGCCTGTTAAGAACAGCCACTGGACGGGTCCGGTAGCTTTAACTATATAAATAATTCTTTCTGTGGAAGAACAAGAATATGATATTTTTGGTTAAAAAAAACCCTTATGGGACTTCCCTGGTGGCACAGTGGTTAATAATCCGCCTGCCAATGCAGGGGACATGGGTTCAAGCCCTGGTCTGGGAAGATCCCACATGCCACGGGGCAACTAAGCCCGTGTACCATAACTACTGAGCCCACGCGCCACAACTACTGAAACCTGAGCACCTAGAGCCCATGCTCCGCAACAAGAGAAGCCACCGCAATGAGAAGCCCACGCGCCACAACGAAGATTAGCCTCTGCTCGCCACAACTAAAGAAAGCCCACGTGCAGCAACAAAGACCCAACGCAGCCAAAAATAAATAAATAAAAATAATTTTAAAAGTAAATAAAAAAATAAAAATTTTAAAACCCTCATTTCACGCTGTTGGCCTAGAAACCATCATAACGGGTCATGCTGGTTAATAAACGTAGCCCTACTGAAGTCACACCATGGCTTGAATTGACACTCTCTTAAGGCAGCTGGTAACCTAAATTAAACATGCCTAGTGCAAGGTATGTTCAATTACGGGAAAAGCAAAACCTAGGCGTGTCATCTAGATGGAACATATAATTCAGATTTCTAAGAGGGAAAGGGATCAATCAGCATTGCTCTTAAAGACTGCAGATTCAATAATGTCTTTGTTCTCCTTAGACTTTTGCAGGTCAGGGTTTCTGGAGCTGACTTCACCTCCTTTTTAATCATTGAAGATTCCCGTTATTAGCATGTACAAAATTAGTGGATTTTGGTCTGTTTCTGCTATATCACCACAACAAAAGCTGCACCAGAAAGAGACAAGACCATAAACTCCATGTCAAATGTCTATTAGTTACTACGATACGATCCAGGACAACAAAAGATATCATTGCACAATTCCTACAACTTACAAAGCATGTCCTATGTTTAAAGCCATGGAGAAATAGTTACAATTATTGCATGCAAAGCACATGTTCTCATTTAAATATTCCACTTCATTTGTTCAAATAACATTGCAAGCACCTATTTACAAACACCCTATCAAATATTTCTAAGCAAAAACAACAAAAATAATGAAAGGCCATTGAAAATCACAGTAACTTCAACAAGCATTGGTGATACAAGTGTGAACATCTGCTTGACTTATTTAAACATAAAAAACTTGTTGGAAAGAATCTGAGAAATATTGACACTCTGAGCATTTTCCTTGGATGAAAGAATGTTGGCTACATTCACTTGTAGGGAATATGACATGGATTGTACCAAGTCATGAAGATGAAAAATGTTTATGAGAAAGATCTTGTACCTAGGGAATTGTGGATTCAGTTGGGAAATTGTAGATAAATATATATATCAAAATTATGAAGCCAAGCTGCATATAGTGAGTACTAAATTCCTAATGAAATAATTATGATTAGAAAATTATAACTAGAAAAGTTTTAAAAATTTAAATGTAATTAGAAAATTACAAGTAGAAAAGTTGAAAAAATTAAATACAATTAGAAAAGTATAACTAGAAAAGTTACAGATTTTTAAATATAAAAAATTAAAATATAAAGTTAAAAATTAGATTTGCCCACAGCCTCTGGCTCGGGTCCTGTTTCTAACTAGTCAGGTGCCAGTAACCTGAACGCTGCCCTCTCGAGACTAAGCACAACTGCTGCTTAAAAGCCTTCCAGGCCCCACCTTCAGGCTGGGGAGAGGCTCTTGAAGAGAATGCTGACTCTGACAGGCCCAGGTGTGCCCACCTGCTTGCGTTCTCTCAGCTGGACCGGGGGCCATCTCCATCCTGGGCAAGTTTCGTGCTTAGCCTCCCCGACCGTTTTCATGTTCTGTCCTCTCAGTCAACTGCATTCACTCTAAAAATCTAGCACCTCCTGTGTTCAAAGCGCTGCTAGATCCTACAGCCACAGTGCTGAACAAGACAAGCCCGGTATATGCCCTTCTTGGAATTTGTATTCTAGGGAAGGGGAGAGACATTGAACAACTGTGTCATACTGCCTTTCATGCTTTTAAATAATTTTTTAAAATGACAAATATAATGCATGCTTATGGCAACAAATAAAACGATATAGTGGTATATTAAAGAAAAGTTAATATCCTGCCCTATTCCGTCCAGTTCATGATAAAACATTTCATTACAAAGGGTGTTTATGGGATGGAAAGAGAAGGTTTTACCAGGGACATCGACCTGGACTGAAGGTCAGAGAAGTGTTCACCCAAGAAGTAATTATTAAGTTGGCTTGGAAAGGTGAATATAAGATCATTCCTGGCCCAGGGAACGGCCTGAACAGGGCTCAGAGGATGGAAAGAATGTATCTAGTTAGGACCAGGGTGGCAATGGGAGGGGAGCAAGATGAAGGTCAGATTTTGTAGAACCTTGTGGCCAGGTTAGAAGGTTTGAATTTTAACCTGAGAACAAAGAGAATTCATTGGAAGATTTAAAATAGAAAGCAACGTAATCCAATGTTTTTAAAAGATCCCTCTGGAGGGCTTCCCTGGTGGCGCAGTGGTTGAGAGCCCGCCTGCCGATGCAGGGGACACGGGTTTGTGCCCCGGTCTGGGAAGATCCCACGTGCCGCGGAGCGGCTGGGCCCGTGAGCCATGGCCGCTGGGCCTGCGCGTCCGGAGCCTGTGCTCCGCAGCGGGAGAGGCCACAGCGGTGAGAGGCCCGCGTACTGCAAAAAAAAAAAAAAAAAGATCCCTCTGGAATGTTGGAGTGCTGTGTGGAGAAAAGAATTGAAATGTGACAGGACAGTTGTAGGAAGCTCAGCCAGGAGACAGCTTCACTTTCAACAGGTTCCTCTCGAGTTTTCGGTGTGCTTTGTAAACAATCCAAAATAAATTGTGATGATGGAGTCTGTGAGAAGGGAAGGATTTGAGCTGAGCTTTCAGAGACATGCAGGCTTTAAATAAAGAGAAGAGGAGATGATGTTTGCTGTGATGATGGGGAGCAAGAATGTACTCAGCGATGGGATGCAGCAGATTTCAGCATTATCGTAATTGTACAGGTGAAGGAATTGAGCTTTGGAGGCTAAGGTACATGAACAAGGGCACAGAGCTGATATATCAGTCCAAGTTGACTGATGCTGTGGATCTGGGTTGGGATCTGGGCTTGGACCTTTTCCAAGGGCTCTCCAAGCCCTCGATTCTGATGATCAGTCAGGGCTGAGCACCACTCATGAGGACTGAGAGAGGAAGGGGAAGAGCCTGGGGGGCCGGGGCGCCCACACAGAGGATAAGGTGAGTGAAGGACCACAGAGCCTCAGAGGCAGGACCCTGAGGACAGCAGGAGGCTGTAAAAGCCAGCGAAGAATTCAAAGAGGAGGGTTCCATACGAGGAAATGGAAATCCCAGAAAACAATAACAGACAAATATTTGGAAGTTATCAGCGGTCTCAGAAGAAGCACTGGAGGAAGAGGAGGATGAGTTGAGTCAGTACAACCGACACTAAAGAATTTTTGTCCATTGACTTAATAGAGGCAAGAGGCCACCTTGTTTTCGAGACCAGAAGTCCAGTCAAAGACAATGACAGGATTTCCTCCATTCTGGGGCATGCTTTTAAAATTTAACTTTCTTGAAATCAGGATGTGTTTTATAATAATTGTTTATAGATGTAGGGCCTCTTTTTCTCTTCCCATGTAAAGCTGTTATTAAATCTATGGTGTGTTTCTCCTGTTTATTGCATCTTAAAGACCAGTAAAGATATACTTCAGCAGACTTGAGATGAAGACCTTAATTAGTAAACAGGGTCCTTGCTCTCAAGTAGCTGACAGACTCTCAAGACAGATAGATGTAAACAGATTTCAATGCAATATCCATTGATGGAAAATGACTGCAGTAACTGGGTGTGGGTTGACTCTCTTTTTTTTTTCTTCTGAATTAAAGGAAACATTCTCTTGCTTTAAATACAGAAGTTTCTCTAGACATGTGACCTGATGATTAACTCATTTTTACGTGGTCTCTTCTGTTTGCAGTTGGGTCTTTTCCAATATATACAAACAGTATGTTTCATTTCAACAAGACGAATAGAAAGCACAGGTAGGAAATGGGAGAACAGTTTACAGTCAAGTTAAAAAAGTCGAATTATAAGAGAATGCACTGCAAATAGTGAATGTTTTGTTTAAGGAGTAAGTGAAGTCTGTAGAAGCCACACATTATTGAAAATTGTGGGGCTTGGAAATACCTTGCTTTCTTTTTCTCTTCCTTACATTTAACACAGAGCTTGGCATACGTGGGTACTCAATGCATATTTGCTGAATCGGTGTAAAAGACAAATCCCAGTTCTTCTTGTACTCCGAATGGCACAAATTGGTATAGCTCAGGCTGGAAAAGCTGGAGAACTTCAAGTCGTGAGGACTTCCTGAGAGAGATGACATTTAAGCTGGATTTAGAAGGAGCATTTTAGGAAAATCTATGGCTGCCTACCTGGGTAAACTTGTTATCCATGCAAATGAAAGTCTTGCTGAGATTATAAAATCAACAATCATTCACAGGCAAACCTTCCAGAAAGGAGCTGCTGATATGACTCTGCCCTAATGTCAGTAGACGGTGGGGGTCAGGGTGTGGGTGTCAAGGAGGTTACAGATTCTAAGGTGAGAGTGATCAGACTAGGTGTCAGCCATGCAGAGGAGAGCACTACGAGTTTTAAAAATCAGAATGAACTACAACCTCCCCTGACTTTTCATTTACTTGAGGATCACAGCACTTTTCAGAGTGC